TGACGTCTCGCTGCTGGTGCAAATCTGCTAGCTTCTGCTTTTCTCACTGGGATAGGAACATTCAAGATGAAAGGCATTTTGCTGTATTTGCATGCTTACTTGCATGTATGTGTGTGAGGCAAGGTCTCCACCACATAGCTCAGGCTGGCCTTGAACTCCAGGAAAGCCTCCTGCCTCAGCCTGGGATGACAGGTGTGTGCCAGCACACCTGACTTCTCCTTCTCCTTCCTCTTCCCCTTTTCCCTTTTCTCTTTCTCTTCTTCCTCCACCTTCTTCTTTGCTTGAAAAGATTGTTAGGTCAAAAGACTGAAGGCTTAGCAAATAAATTCCCATTTATAAAGCAGTGTAAATATTTTAGCCATTTTAAAATACACAAATGGACACTTCTGGCATTAGTGCTAAAACCTATTAGAAATAAATAGGAGAAAATGAAAACTTACAGGGGACTTAATGTGAAGCTAACGACAGTAACCAGAATATTCTACAGCTTTAAAACAATCCTTATCAAAGCCCCAGCTCAGCCCCAAGTCTGGCATGGCAGAGTAGCTCCTTGACAAGCAGACCCCAGGGGACAGTGGCCACGAGAGCTAAGCTCCCCAAGACCCAGGGTAACTTCCTGGTCACCACGGCTGTGCATGTGTGTTGGCGTTACCTTTACTTTTTCTAAAAATTATACTAGACCATCTACCAAAGATCTTTTATTCTTTCTTTCTTTTGTGGTACTGGGAATCAAACTCGCTTATACCACTGAGCTATCTCCCAGACTCTCTTTAATTCTTTCAGATAAAGAACTTTGGTACCGCCCAAAGCAAAACCCAAAACTTTCAGGTCCCAAAATGAGTGAAAGATAACTTAAATCATATATTGGGTAGATTACTATCTAGAACTGCTACAACTCAACTATAAAAATAAATAAATAAATAAATTCTGCTGTAGCAACCATTGAAGAACAGTAGCCATGGCCCTCTGCTATCCCATGGCCATGGGCCTCAACAAGGGCCACAAGGTGACTAAGAATGTGAATAAACCCAGGCACAGCCGCTGTCACAGAGGCCTCATCAAATACCAAGTTCATGCAGGACATGATTGGGGAGGTGTGTGGCTTCGCCCCCTGTGAGTGGTGAGCCATGGAGCTGCTCAAGGTCTCCAAGGACAAAAACGCCATCTGTGCCAAGCGGAAGCATGAGGAGCTGAGCAACGCGCTGGCCACCATAAGGAAGACAGCTGCCAAGGACTGAGCCCCCCTGGAATAAATCTTTGCAGAGGGGGCTGGGGAGATAGCTCAGTAGAATAGGTGCCTGCCTGGCAAGCACAAGGGCCTGAGTTCAATTCCTGGTTCCACAATAAATAAATAATAAATAAAATAAAGCTTTGCAGAAAATTTAAAAAAGTGAGCCACCCAATTAAAACATGGAAAAAGTAGACTTTTTTTTTTTTTCCAAAGAAGACACAAATAGTCAATAAGCACATGAAAAGATGCTCATGACTTTTCACGAGGGAAATGCATTTATTGAAACTATCATGAGATGCTTCACACAACCATCAGGAAGGCTGTTACCGAAGGAAGCAGGTGTTGTGGGGGCATGGTACAGGGACAGGGCGTATGGGACAGGACTGGAACCTCTGCACCTTGCTGGAGAGAATGCACAGTGGAGCAGCTGCTGTGGGAGGCAGCTAGGCGGCTCCTCAAGGAGCCACCAAGGGATCACTTCAACCTTGCAGGCCCACTCCTCTATCCACCACAGGAGCAGAACGCAGGGCTTGGACAGATGTTTGTACCCCTGTGCTCATGGCAGGATTATTCCCTATCATCAGGAAAAGTGGGGAAAACTCAAAAGTTCATTGAGAGAGAAACAGAATGAAAGGGATGGACATGATGCCAAGTGAGAAAAACCAGATGCAAAAGGATATGTTTATTAGGATAAAAATAATAATCAGAAAGTAGAAAGTAGAGCGCCAAGGGCTGAGTTCTGTTTAGGATGATGGAAAAGTTTTGGAAATAGGTAGTGGTAATGGCTGCACAACAGTGTGGGTATACATTATGTCACAGAACTATGCACTTAGAAATAGTTAAAATTAGCTGTGTGCAGCGGTGCATGGCTGTAATTGTCGTCTCAGCTACTGGGAAGGCTGACAGGCAGATCACAAGTTGAAGGCTGAACAATTTAACAACAAAATCTCCCAAACAAACAAACAGGTCTTGCTCAACAAAAAGGGCTTAGGATGTATGTCGGTATGCACATTTTGCTACAAATATCAATTAAAAAGAAATTGACAAAATTGTATTTATAAAGGAGTTAAGGGGGAAATAAAAAAAAGGAGTTAAAATATTGATGGTACTTAAAGTTGGTAAATGGAATTAAAGGTCTCTTTAGAGTTTCCAGATTTAAAAGAGAAAAAACAAAAAGTCATGCACCCCAAATCCTGTGTACCTGAGCATTTGCCCCAAGTGTTCACACAGCTACCTGCTCAGTAAAAGGTGGAACAACCCAGATAGCCCCCCAAGGACAAGTGAATAAACATGTGGTCCATCCATACAATGGTGCAAAGAATGAGGTACTGAGCCCGGTGGAGCGGCACTTGCCTGTAATACCAGTTATTTGGGAGGCTGAGGCAAGTTTGAGGCCAGCCTAGTCAGTTTTTGTGATTGTTTCATTAAATAATAATAAAGAGCTGGGATGCAGCTCAGCACTAAGGCCCTGGACTCAGTTCCCGGAAGCCTGCCCTCCCCCAACCCACTAAAAGCCTGATGTATGTTACCAAGTGGCTGTAGCTTTGTGGAAGCCCCCATGGGCAGCTCTCCTTGAAGGAGGAGCAGTTGTTCACTTCGGCTGAGCCTGACCCTATTTCCATGTGTGACATATACAGAGCTGGCTAGGTTTTTCTTATCCTTTCAATTGGCTTTCAGCAATGTATATGGGTCCAGCCCAGGTGCTGCTGGTAGTCTTTGAGGATGGCAGGCAGTGTTTTCTGAAGGTTTTTTTTTTTGGCTGGCACAGGCTGCCTTAAGGGCGGGTCTGGTAAGGCAGGTGGAGCTGGGGCTTGAGAATGAGTTTGCGCGAGCAGGTGCTTAAACCACTGAGCTAATCGGCAGGCCCCCAGGCGGTGTTTTCTGGAGCCCCCACTTGCTGCTCCCTAGTGCGAGCTGGATGAGGAGCTGGATGAGGTGCTGGATGAGGTCAGAGAGCGAGCGCTCCTGAGACAGAGGCTATGACTTCCTGGGGTTTGGACGATCGCGCCTTGGCCTAAGCACTGACCCCAAAGCACTGTTATGCAGATTACTCTTTCTGCATATCCTTCTCTGATTTCCAGAGGTGGCTTACCTGGCCTCTGGCCTAGCCCTGCTCACCACAGACACAAAAATATATCCAAAATGGGGAATCAAGAGGGTCCGGAGTCCAGCCACAATGATGGCTGTCCGGAACAAAGGAGAGTTCAATCCCTGGTTCCACCAAAAATAAAAAATTTTAAAAAGTGCACAGTTAGGGCTAGGCCCTAACTGGCTCTTTTGAGATTGGGGCTGGCCTCAAATTTGTGATGCTCTTGCCTCAGCCTCTAAAGTGTTGGGATTACAGGTATGCATCACATCTGGTTTATAGCTCAATTAAAAAATATATTTTCTTGGTGGTGCAAGGGATTGAATCCTGGTCTTCATGGGTGCTAGACAAATAGTTTATTACTTACACCCCAGCCCACTTGATTTACAGGAAATCCATTAAGACAGGAGGTAGATTAACAATTGCCTGGACTTTGGGGAGGGGAGGGTCACTGACACCTGGCACCGTGCTGCCTCTTTGTGTGACAAAGGATCTATAATTGCCTGGTGACTGAAGTGTGGCTATGCTACAAGCCCTAATTGTGCACTTTTTTTTGGTTGTTTTGAGACAAGGTCATGATATGCAGTTCAGGTTGGTCTTGAGCTGATATTGTAGCCCAGGCTGGTTTTGAACTCGCAATGATCCTGTCTCAGCTACCCCAGTTCTAGGAGACATGTGCTACCATGCCCAGCCCTAATTGTGCACTTTTTAAATTTTTTTATTTTTGGTGGAACCAGGGATTGAACTCAGGTCCTTGCACTTGCCAGGGAAGTGCTTATTCTACTAAGCCATCTCCTCAGCCTCCTAATTGTGCACTTTTAAGTGGGGGAATTGTACAGCATGAGCTTTCAAAAAGCTGTTACAGAAAACCCAGCGAAGATCTATAAACTGAGTTTAAAGGCTTAGAAAAAAAGAACAGGTATTTGAATTTGAAGCACATTACCGTATTTTAAGCCAGTGCCAGCTGCCAGCTGCCAGCTGCCAGCTGGTTGATTCCACGTGCAAGCCCCTTGAAGGCATCTGAAAGCCCAAGTGCTACCTGCACACAGAGCTGTGACTGTCTCAGTCGGTGTTGGGCTGAATTAGGGACATGGAGCCGTCGGGAGTCCAGAAGGGAAACCACAGGGCAGGTGTGGACCGAGGCTAAAGTCAGGAGCCAGAGACATTGTACTTGAGTTCCCAGGGAGGGAGGTGGCCTCCTGGCAAGACAAATTCACCCCAGCAGAAAACCCAGCCTGCCCTGATCCCCACTTCCACTGCCGACCCCTACCAGGACAGCACTGAGGTGCTGAGCAACCTCTCCGCCCTTGGTGGGCCCAGGCCCCTGCGCCTTCCTCCTTGTGCTCAGCCTCGCCTTCATCTCTTGCCCACTGAGGCTTTTTGTTCTTGCTCAGGTCCGCAAAATGGATAAGAGGTCCGGGTTTCCAAGGGCTCTGCTCAGCCTGTGTTCCGTCGATGGTTTTGTGACCCTAGAGTGACAATGGCACCAGGCTGTGCTGGTTCTGAGGCTCCCTGGGTCAGTTTGGCTGAGGACACCATGGAGGGACAGGGACAGGGAGGTACCCATTCAGCCGGGCTGGTGATTTCTGGTATGCTCAGGCCACCTGCCCAGCAGGAAAGAAACACCAGCACAGCCAAGCGCCAAGGGAGCCTTTATTAGTGCTGGATCCAAGAGGAGGCTGGGCTGGGTGGAGACCACAATGCAGTGCACCCCTTCACTGTTGTCCTCAGTGGGTCCCATGTCCCTTTCACACAAGAACTACAGCTGAGGACTCCAGATTCAGACCTCTACAGCCTGGGGTAGTGGACACGAGGGGACAGCAAGTCTTGGGCAGCACCCAGAAGCCAGCACCCTCAGTGAGCAGTACCCAGCCTGAGTGGTTCCTGGCATGATTGACTAAGGCACAGTGGCAGGACAGTGTCCTGCTGCAGGTTGGAGCCCTGCAGGGACCCAACCCTCAGAGGCTACATGAGAACACAAAGCTATGTTTTCCTCCTGGGGGTCCCGGAGCTACTGCTACAGTTGTTGGGGGTGGGCGTGGCTTGTGTGGATGCAGGTCCTGACTCCTTTTTGGGGATCAATTTGTGCTTCTCTTCTCTGGTCAGGAGGGAGGACTGAGGCAACCAAGAAGCCAGCAGGGCCTGCACGACTTTCACAGCACCTACAGCTCCCAAGAGTCCCCAGAGCAGGTTTGGGGGCTCCAGGGTTGACAGCTGGGTCCGTACCCAGTGAAGGGCCTGGGCTAGCATGTGGCTAGAGCTTCGGTGCCGGGGCGGAGTCTTGTCCTGTGAACAGGATGGAGGAGGGTGCCCACAGGGTTGGCCCCTGCTGGCAGGAGTCCTCCTCCCCTTCCCAGCGTGGTGCACACCCTCCTACCTGAAGTCCAAACTGCTGCAGCAGCCTCTCCAGGTTGGGGTCCCCCAGGGACACAGATGGGAAGAATTCCTCCACCCACTGGCGGCGCCACCAGCGGCTACAACAGGACTGGATCCTTAGTGCCTGTGCCTGGCCCTGGCCCCGGCCCCAGCCCCAGCCCAGGGTCCCAGCTTACCCCTGCTCCCCAGGCTGAGAGAACCAGTATTTGTAGCGCTGGGCTCGGATGTAGGTGGGTGGCTGCTTGTGAAAGGGGTACTGGGCAGCATCATTCTGGATTAGGTGAATCACTGTGAGGGGATATGGCTCAGTATGACATGGAGGGCACATGCCCTGGGCTCCTCTCCCACCTTCCCTGTTCCTCACCTAGCTCCTTGCCCTTCCCTGCTCCTCTCACCTGGCTCCTTGCCCTGCAGCAGGCGGAGCACCAGGCTGGTGAACCAAGGACTGTGCGTGTGTGGGCCGAGGGCTGCAAACCACATCTGCCAGTCGAGGCGCGGCTGATGGGGCACCACAGTGGGGAGTGGGCGGCTCACGTTTCCAGGCTTGTACATGAACTCAATCTCCTGCCAGGTGGATCCCGGGTCAGGTAGGCTGGCTGACCTAGGTCCCTGCGACCCCCAGCCCCTAGAAGGCTCACTGTCCAGTGGTGTCCATCGTAGCTGCCTTCCAGCACCACCTCAGGCCGCCCACCCAGACCAGTCATCCGACGGAATAGGCCGTATGAGTTGGCCAGCTGCAGGTGTTCCACGGTGCCAAAGAGGTGGCGAGCCCCCGTCCACAGGAGCCCATGGGTCCCAGGCTCCACGTAGGAGTAGGGCACCTGCAGCAGGTGGAGAGACTCTCAGCCTTGCCCTTTGGGCCCCTCCAGCCCCACTTCCTGTCATGGGACCTACCAGGCTAATGAGGAACATGGTCACTGTGGTAGTGCCCCAGATGGAAAGCTGGATTGCAGCACAGAGCTTCTGCCGCCACCCTTGCATCTGTGCCCACCTGGGGACAGGGCCAAGTGTGATCAGGCTGCCCTGGGAGCCAGTCCCCTCTCCCTGCCACAGGCATGTACCTCCAGAGTGCAGCCATCAGCTCCCAGGTCAGGGAGGCTGCACCCAGCCACATAGTGGGGAGTGTCACCATCTTCAGCCATTGGGAAAACTGGTGGAAGGTGAAGGCTGCCAAAGGAGGGAGACATAAGGAGGGCTGACTCCACCCTCACCCCTGGGCCCCCCACCTGGCACTCACTGGTTCTGCAGTGGATTATGTGCTGTTGCCAGTCAACTTCTAGGCCAAAGTAGTGCACAGTGCCATAGGCCAGCGTCCCATAGATGGCCAGTTCCAGCAGCAAGGACAGCTTGGTCAGCAGGACCCTGGGCCAGGCTGTGGGCAGGACAGTCAATAGCTGGCAGAGGGCTCACAACCAAGGGCTGGGGGAGCTGGGATGTAGCTCTTTCTGAGAGTGCTGGCAGGAGGAAGACACCCTAGAGGGCCCGGTGTGAAGACAGCTGGCTGGCAGGCGCAGCCTGACACTCACAGGTGGGTGTCTTCCTGGGGCGGCTGAGCCCAGGCTCAGCACCCAGATGCTGGTCATCCAGGAGGGCAGTGGTAAGCACCAGCGTGAGTAGGTTAAAGAAGTTGTAGTTGCCGGTGATGATGATGAGGACTTGCAGCAGCACCTGGGGAGTTTGCATTTGAAGCGCCTGAGAACCAGACCTCCTTCAGCGTGGCTGCTGGTGCATGCCTGCCCACCCTTAATAACATGCCTTTCAGCTGTGAGCCTTCCCCGAGAGCAGCAGCCTCCTGTCTGCCAGGGCTGCCCTATATCCCACCTACCTGAGAGTAGAAGGCAGCCAATCGCAGGCGGCGAACGGGGGCGAAGAACAGAGGGGGCACTGCGATTTCAATGAGGAAAGTGGCCACTACGCTGAGCTTATGCAGCCAAACAGGCAGGTGGTGTGCAAACCAGGCAGCAGGGGTGGGTAGACACTGCGTCTCATAGTGGTAGGTAAGGGCTGTGGACACAGGGGCTGGTCAGGGCTGTGCAGGGCTCCCATAGCCACCCCAGGTCCAGGCAAGGATGCTCACCAGTGAGTCCCCACCATGCAGGGCAGCGGCTGGTCAGCTTGACCACACCGGAGGCAAACATGAGGCGAAACAGCAGCCAGCGCACAAGCCAGAAGGGCTGGCCCTTAAAGTCCGAGGCCCCTACCAGCACCCCCTGTTTTTGGCTGGAGGGCTGCTTCAATGGGGCTACCAGCACAGCCAGGAAGCCTGTCTCCAGGAGCAGGGAATCCCTGTGGGGAGAGGAAATGGGCCCAAGTACAGCTCCTGTTCCTCCCTCAGAGGGCTTCCCAGGAGAAGGCAGCCAGAGTCACTCACCACTGGAAGTAGAGGAACACCTGGCCCACCTGTGGGGAGAAGGGCTGTCAGGGAGCAAGGCAGAGGCAGGGAAGTAGGGTGGGGTGGGGTGACGAGGGGCTTACTTGCCTGGCAGACCGACAGGTAGGCAGCCCAGAGCAGCAGGTAAATGAGGGGGTGGCGGAGCGGACGCAGGAGCAGTGGACCCAGAGCCAGCCCTGCGCCCAGCAGGCTCAGCAGCTCCAGGCCCTGGGCTGTGTCCAGTCCCAGCAGCGGCGCTTCCCACAGCAGCGTCGGCGTCTCCCACAGCTGTTGCCAGCGCCCCTTGCCCTGGGGCCGCAGCATCCTCCGCGCAGGGAGGATGCCCTCGGGGCCATAGAGGCCTGTGGGAAGGGATGTCACCGCGAGGCCTGCACACCCCCTTCCAGCCTAAATTCTCCCTGAACGCAAAGACAGCAGCCATGCCCTGGAGAAAGGTGCTGCGGCCGGCCGCCACATCCCACGTCTTCTTCCCGCTAGCGCTCCCACCCCCCATGCCTGCGCCTGGGCTGGGGCTCACCCCGCTCCAAGTGGCGGGCGCGCGCGGTAGGCCACCCGGGACGACCCGGGCCACGCGCCTCAGAGGCGGTGCCCCACCCGGGGAAGTCCTACCCTCGGGTCCTCACCAGGGATCTGCATGTAGAGGGAAGCAAAGGCGAACAAGAAGACGGCAGCCACGCCCTGGAGAAAGAGCTGCCGGGGAAGCCAGGAGCCCGCCATATCTACTACGCGGCGTGGTGGGCCGGAGCGGAGCCTGGATCCTGCGGCCTGCGCCCGCACCCCGCCCCGCAGCCCGCAGCCCCGCCCACAGCCGCGGGCGGCGGTGCCACCCGAGGCC